AATTGGACATTCACCTATTATGGTCCAATATCCAAAATCTAAATACATGGTTAGATTCAGCATATCAAAGAACCCCAAGAATTCAATTTTTGATGAAATCAAACAAAGTTTAATTTTGGACCCTTTTGACCTCAATGAGGACAAAGTTGATAACGGGGCCCAAAAATCAAAAATCTAAATACATGGTTAGATTCAGCATATCAAAGAACCCCATATATTCAATTTTTGTTGAAATCAAACAAAGTTTAATTTTGGACCCCGATTTGGACCAACTTGAAAACTGGGCCCATAATCAAAAATCTAAATACATGTTTAGATTCAGCATATCAAAGAACCCTAAGAATTCAATTTTTGTTAAAATCAAACTAAGTTTAATTTTGGACCCTTTGGACCTTAATGTAGACCAATTTGAAAACGGAACCAAAAATTAAGAATCTAAATACACGGTTAGATTCGGCATATCAAAGAACCCCAATAATTCAATTTTTGATGAAATCAAACAAAGTTTAATTTTGAACCCTTTTGACCTCAATGTGGACAAAGTTGATAACGGGGCCCAAAAATCAAAAATCTAAATACATGGTTAGATTCAGCATATCAAAGAACCCCATATATTCAATTTTTGTTGAAATCAAACAAAGTTTAATTTTGGACCCCGATTTGGACCAACTTGAAAACTGGGCCCATAATCAAAAATCTAAATACATGTTTAGATTCAGCATATCAAAGAACCCTAAGAATTCAATTTTTGTTAAAATCAAACTAAGTTTAATTTTGGACCCTTTGGACCTTAATGTAGACCAATTTGAAAACGGAACCAAAATTTAAGAATCTAAATACACAGTTAGATTCGGCATATCAAAGAACCCCAATAATTCAATTTTTGATGAAATCAAACAAAGTTTAATTTTGGACCCTTTGGACCTCAATGTGGACCAATTTAAAAACGGGGCCCAAAATCCAAAAACTAAATACACGGTTAGATTCAGCATATTAAAGAACCCCATGAAATCAAGAATAAAACCCCATTGAAATTGGTCAAGAAATAAGCAATTTATAGGAAGTATCTTCTTTTGCACAATCCTGTGCTATTAAATATTTCTTGCTATTGCGCAATACTGTACAATTGACAATTTCTTGCTATTGCGCAATATTGTGCTATTGGATATTTCTTGCTATTGCGCAATACTGTGCAATTGAAGATTTCTTGCTATTGCGCAATACTGTGCAATTGAAGATTTCTTGCTATTGTGCAATACTGTGCAATTGAAAATTTCTTGCTATTGCACAATACTTATTATATAATAATTTACACATCCTGTTTGGTGTGTATCTCCTACCATATCATTATTATTTGATTTTAAATATAAATCAGAAATAACCAACTTAAAATGGAAAATTTTAAAAGAAACAAAAAAGGAAAAAAAGAAAAAAAAGGAAAAAAAAATAAATCCCCCCCCCAAATTTTTTGAACCCCCATTATGATTCATCACCCCCAAACTCAATCCCAGCCTTCCCTTTGTGGTATGGTACCTTCCAGTACAATTTCAGAGAGATCCATACACTTGAACACAAGTTATTGTCTGGAAACTAGAAAAAAAATGTGTTTTTTGGCCCCTTTTTGGCCCCAAATTCCTAAACGTTTAGGGCAATTACCCCCAAACTCAAACCCAGCTTTCCCTTTGTGATATGGAACCTTGTAGTACAATTTCAGAAAGATCCATACACTTACACACAAGTTATTGTCATGAAACTAGAAAAATGCTTGTTTTTTGCCCCTTTTTTGGCCCCTAATTCCTAAAATTTGGAGGCAATTACCCCCAAAATCAATCCCAGCATTCCTTTAGTGATATGGAACCTTGTGGTACAATGTCAGAGAGATCCATACACTAACACACAAGTTATGTCTGGAAGTTACAAAAATGCTTATTTTTGGCCCCTAATTCCTTTACTGTTATTACCATAACCCCCAAAATCAATCCCAACCTTCCTTTTGTGGTATTGAACCTTGTGGTAAAATTTCATAAAGATCCATTCACTTAAACTAAAGTTAGAGTGCGAAAACCAATGTGTCTTCGGACGACGCCAACGTCATACCAATATACGACCACAAAAATTTTTTTGCGGTCGTATAAAAACTAAATACACGGTTAGATTCAGCATATTAAAGAACCCCATGAAATCAAGAATAAAACCCCATTGAAATTGGTCAAGAAATAAGCAATTTATAGGAAGTATCTTCTTTTGCACAATCCTGTGCTATTAAATATTTCTTGCTATTGCGCAATACTGTACAATTGACAATTTCTTGCTATTGCGCAATATTGTGCTATTGGATATTTCTTGCTATTGCGCAATACTGTGCAATTGAAGATTTCTTGCTATTGCGCAATACTGTGCAATTGAAGATTTCTTGCTATTGTGCAATACTGTGCAATTGAAAATTTCTTGCTATTGCACAATACTTATTATATAATAATTTAGACATCCTGTTTGGTGTGTATCTCCTACCATATCATTATTATTTGATTTTAAATATAAATCAGAAATAACCAACTTAAAATGGAAAATTTTAAAAGAAACAAAAAAGGAAAAAAAGAAAAAAAAGGAAAAAAAAATAAATCCCCCCCCAAAATTTTTTGAACCCCCATTATGATTCATCACCCCCAAACTCAATCCCAGCCTTCCCTTTCTGGTATGGTACCTTGCAGTACAATTTCAGAGAGATCCATACACTTGAACACAAGTTATTGTCTGGAAACTAGAAAAAAATGTGTTTTTTGGCCCCTTTTTGGCCCCAAATTCCTAAACGTTTAGGGCAATTACCCCCAAACTCAAACCCAGCTTTCCCTTTGTGATATGGAACCTTGTAGTACAATTTCAGAAAAATCCATACACTTACACACAAGTTATTGTCATGAAACTAGAAAAATGCTTGTTTTTTGCCCCTTTTTTGGCCCCTAATTCCTAAAATTTGGAGGCAATTACCCCCAAAATCAATCCCAGCATTCCTTTAGTGATATGGAACCTTGTGGTACAATGTCAGAGAGATCCATACACTAACACACAAGTTATGTCTGGAAGTTACAAAAATGCTTATTTTTGGCCCCTTTTTGGCCCCTAATTCCTTTACTGTTATTACCATAACCCCCAAAATCAATCCCAACCTTCCTTTTGTGGTATTGAACCTTGTGGTAAAATTTCATAAAGATCCATTCACTTAAACTAAAGTTAGAGTGCGAAAACCAATGTGTCTTCGGACGACGACGACACCGGACGACGACGACGCCAACGTCATACCAATATACGACCACAAAAATTTTTTTGCGGTCGTATAAAAATGCTATTCTTGGCCCCTAATTCTTAACTATTGGTACCATAACCCCCAAAATCAATCCCAACCTTCCTTTTGTGGTATTGAACCTTATGGTAAAATTTCATAGAGATCCATTCACTTAAACTAAAGTTAGAGTGCGAAAACGAATGTGTCTTCGGACGACGACGACGACACAACGTCGTACCAATATACGACCGCAAAAATTTTTGCGGTCGTATAAAAATGCTTATTTTTGGCCCCTTTTTCCTAAACTGTTGGTACCATAACCCCCAAAATCAATCCCCACCTTCCTTTTTTGGTATGGAAACTTATGGTAAAATTTCATAGAGATCCATTCACTTAAACTAAAGTTAGAGTGCGAAAACCAATGTGTCTTCGGACGACGACGACGCCAACGTCATACCAATATACGGGTCGTATAAAAATTGTTGTTTTTGGCCACTTTTAGGCCCTTAATTCCTAAACTGTTTGCCCCATAACCCCTTATACGAATCCCAACCTTCTACTTGTGGTATTAAACATTGTTGTACAATTTCAGAGCAATCGAAATACTTATACACAAGTTATTATCCTGAAACTAGAAAAATGTTTGTTTTGGGCCCTTAATTCCTAAACGGTTGGGACCATCATCCCCAAAATCAATCCCAACTTTCCTTTTGTGGTATTGAACCTTCTTAAAAAATTTCATAGAGATCCATTAACTTAAACTAAAGTTATTGTCCGGAAAACCAATGTGTCTTCGGACGACGACGACATCATACCATTATACAATCCCAAATATTTTTTTGCGGTCGTATAAAAATGGGTAAAAATCTTCAATAAAGAGCAATAATTTCAATAAGGAGTGAACTGATGATTTCGGTTAGTCGACCTATTAGAAGATCTTGTCTTGCTGATCTCTTTTGCTATATAAAGCAGCTATCTATCTATAAAAGCTTTCAAGATAAGAAGCAGAACACTGAAAATGGGTAAAAACTTCATTAAAGAGCAATAACTTCAATAAGGAGCAAACTGATGATTTCGGGCCAGTTGACCTAATAAAAGAATTCGTCTTGCTCATAATTTTTGCTTATTTTATAATTTAAGTTTCTATCTATCTATTTTAGTTTTTCAGATATTAAGCAAAAACATAAAAAATTGATAAAAAATCGCCATTACAGATCTTGTCTTGTTTATCATTTTTGCTTTTGAAAGTTTCTCTCTATCGGTCGTAATTTTCAAGATAATTTGCAAAAATGAAAAAAAATTGGTAACATTAGTCATTTGAGGTCAATAACTCCTAAAAGAAAGTCTGGCAGTTTTGTAAATGGACAATAGGTAGATCTCAATCATTCTGAACATTTCTGCCCCTGAAAGATTTTATCTATTAACAGCAGCTTTCAAGATAATAGACAAAACTTGCATTTTACCCCTATCATGCCCATGTTCTTTTTTAGCAATGTCATTGGACACTTTCTTTGAACTATATACCCCAATGATGATTGTGGACAAGTTTGGTCAATTTCGGCCAGGTAGTTTCAGAAAACAAGATTTTTATTAAATTTAACAGATGACACACGCCAAGTGATGAGAAAGGGCCAGGTGAGCTAAAAATAACAGAAAAGCAAACATCTCCCAATTACAATGTGTAGCATGATTCACCACCAATAACAAAACAACACTATTTATCAATTTTATGACTGTATTTATACACAATTTTGTGTTCTCCAGCACAGCACTGAAAGCTTTCCCAGTGAACATCTCATTTTGATGATGACAAAAATACAAAAAATGTACAAACTTCAATCTACTCTTAAAATTATCAACAATGAAAATGTATACACTGTCTGACTGTGGATAATTATTTACAAACAACTTCCTCTTTTTGGAGAGAAATTTATATAAATTTAATTTCCTTTTTACAACTGTACATTTTTGATGCAATGAACTGAATGCATGATCTGATGAACTAATGACTTGGTCTTAAAATTAAAAAAGAACCTAAAAAAAAAAGTGACAAACAATTCTCTTACCCCTTACAACTAATGGCGTAAAAATTTATTCATTTTCAATGTTTGCCAGCTGGAGTGCTGCATTTAAAGTCACCACACATATACACATATCAAATTAACAACTTGCATACAACAATACACTTTCAGTCAATTCATGCACACATATAACATTTGAATACTTATAAAATTAAATATATTAAAACATTCAAATATTTTAACACCATGTTATTTTCTTGTTTGTTAACAAACAAATATATTCATAAATCTCTGAACTGAAAACAAATGTTTTCTTGATAAATAATAATTTTGCATCCTGACATGTTGCCAATGTATAAAATAATGAACTAATTTGACATCTAATGCTACAATGTGTCAACAAATCTAGTCAACTGGTCTTGTGGGGTCAAAGGTTGCACTTCATTGTCATTGGGTAGCAAGAGACCAGGGTCTGGCCCTTGGCCCTGCAAAGATCCTAATAATAAATTAGGATCAGAATGTAATTGATTTGGATCTGTACCCATCATATTTGGATGAGATTGACTGACATGTGATGACATTTGAGGTTGGCGAGGTGATGGGTTAAGTTGCTGCCGAGATAATTGGTTAGGTTGTGGTGATCGCACAGTCTGTGGTAATGAATTAGGTGATCGCACTGATTGCATGAAGTTTGGTGATGCCACATTTTGTTGAGATGAAAGCTGGGGATTATTACCTCCAGCCATATGTTGTCTTAACTGATGCTGTTGCATCATTTGTGCATTCTGCATTTGTGGTTGAAACTGTTGAATGTTGCTTTCTGTATATTGAGGATTGTAAGCCATTCTAGGTCGTTGCTGTTGAAACTGTTGTTGTTGCTGAAATTGTTGATTCATCGGCATCCCCGGATGCTGTTGATTTTGTTGTTGTTGTTGCATTCTTAATCTCTGTTGTTGAAGTTGCCAAAGCTGCTGTTGTTGTTGTTGCTGTGACTGTGCTATATTGTTTGGGTTTGACTGGTTCATATTGTGTTGACCAGGCTGACCTTGTTGCTGCTGAGTTCTCTGTTTGATAAAAGCTGCCATGAGATGGGGGTTTGACTTAAGAATTTGTAACACTTGTTGCTGCTGCTGCGGCGAGTTGGGTGATTTTAAAGTTCTTAATAATTGTTCTAAAGCATGCTGCTGCGGCCTTTGAGGACCAGCATTTGGCATTCCTGGTCGTACTCCAGCAACCGGTTGCTGTGTTTGTTGCTGCATTTGTATTCCAGAATTCATAGGATTTGGCTGCATTGGCGGTCTCATTTGTGGTGGATTCATGGGATTTTGAGGCATTGTTTGATAGGTTGAATTTGGCGGCCAGACCACTTTAGAGTTATTCATTGCAGTGTTCACTGGTACCTTTTGAGCTGGTGCTTGCACTTGTGGAGGGGGCATGGTAGCCACACTAGCTGCACCTGACTGAAGACTAGCTTGACGAGAAGCCTCCTCTTGAGCAGCCATTGCAGCTTGTAAAGCAGCTGCTGGAGGTCCAGCCACAGGTTTACCAGAACTGAAATTTGATGGAACTGGTTGTTGTTGGATTCCTGTTGCTGCAGGCGATTGTTGTGTTGTGTTTTGAGCACTAGGTGTCATAGTACGCTGCATTGAGGCCATTCGCCTCCGCAACATTTGCGCTTGTTGAAGTCTATGTTGTAACTGTTGCTGCCTTAATTTATGTTTAATCTGTAAACAGAATGGCACTTGACACTTATTTTCTGTGCAATGCTTTGCATGATACAAACACAATGCTATAAGTTGTTTGCAAATTGGGCAAACTCCATTAGCCTTTTTCCGACAACACTTTGTATGAGATACAACACGCTTCATCTTCTGACAACTTGGAAGTCTGCAATTTGCGTCCCTGCACTGACATGCATGCACTAATGATTGAATACAACGTTGAATAGATTGACGGCGAGATTGTTGAGGATCATCCTGTTTATCATTCGGGGATGAACCGTCGTCAAGATCCAAACCTAGTTTATCCATTTTATGACAATGACCTTCTTTTTCATAACATGCTGTACACAGATCAAAATCCTGTAAAAAGACCAAAATAATTTAGTTCAAGCAAAAGTAATGTTTACTACAATCAGATATTCCAAATTATATACATGACTGCTGCATAATTGGATGGAGTGGTTACATTTAGTCTACACATCATGGTGCCTTTTCAATGTTCAGTCATACATTGAGATGACATTGAAGCCATTTTTAGGAAAAATCCCTTTAAAGTCTTGAACAATTAATTTACTGGAGCACTGAGATCATCCCCCGTTTTTGTAGGGGTTTGTGTTGCCAGTCTTCAATTTTTCATATAGTCTTTTGTAGACTGGTGTTAGTCCTTTCACCTTCCATTATTTTTTATTTATTGCCATGGTTTTATTAGTCTCTTTTTGATTTATTAGTTTTTTTTACTGTCATTTTAGTATCTTTCATTTCTTTTTTAAATTTGTGCGGTAAGTTCAAATAACATTTTCACTTTATATCACAAAGTTTTTAATAGTTTTACAGAAATTTTGGCAACTGGTATATATAAAACAACTGGTTCTTAATGATGTTATTACTTCTCAGATAGTATTTTAAAATATTTCATAGTTGCTTAAAAATACCAACAACTTCAATGATTCTTTGATGTGCAAGACTTTCACTGTGGCATGATAATACAATTTTACAATAAAATTACAGAGAAATTTGATTCATCAGGAATAATCATCATGCATAAATTAATAAAAATCTTTATTAGTTCCCTCCAATGTTGTAGATCTACTGATGCGTTACAACTGGCAACATTTGGTATGGCAACATTTGGTATGACAACATTATATTATAACATATTCCATATTTGATTTTGACTCTATCCAATTGAAATACAGATTCTCTGTCCATGTTTCCCTTACAAGGATCTGACAACACTCAGTTCTACTTACTGTTCTGGTAATTATAATATCAGCCTTTAAATGTATTATCATACGACAAAACCAGAGGATCCTGATAGGTCTTTAAAGGAGGAAGTAGAACCAAGCATTGTCAGATCATTGATAGTGAAAAAGTGGATACAGGATCTATATTTCAAGCAGATTACACAATACTTCAGACAAAAACAAGTTCCTAATGCCTATTTTAAAGTATATCATTAACCTTGTCCTTAAATTGTTAAATTACCAGGGATCATTGATCTACTAGAACTAAAAATTCATGTAAAATTATTAGTTTAAATTGAAAATAACACACTCACACCTTATAAACATTACTTACTTCACAAACAGTACAATGCCATCTAGTTTCCACATGTGCTTTACAAGTATTACATGTGTAAACAAAATTGTCTTTTCCTTGATTATGAAGCTCATACAATAAAGCCATTGTTGAATATTTTGCACGACGCAAAGATGAAAATTCCTGATGTTTGTCCCTAGCCATTGTCAGAAATGCATCTCTGCCATCCATTAAATCACAAGAAATATAAGGATCTGGATCATGAATTGGAGGAAGTGTTGAAGCTACTTGTTGACTGTGTAAACGAATCACAAAGAATACCTGTCAATAGATCAAATCATCCTTTCAACATTTTCGACATATATGAAATAGTTAACATCTTTTATTCTGTTAAAAATATAACCTTACTTTATACATTGTAATGTAAATATATATATTACATTAATAATGATATAATGCTGGTAATATCTTGCAATGACAGGAGATATTGATTAAGGATTCTTTCAGAAGTTATACAACACCTATGTCAGTTAAAAGACATGCTGGTCTCCCACTAATCAAACTTAAAGTTCAAGATAATCTTTTTATTTTGTGATTAGATTGCTGACATTTATTAAATTTTGCCTGTGAAATAGCATCTAGGGAAATAATTTTCATACAGAAGACAGAATTTTGTTGTATTAGCCTTATATACAACTATATTCACAACTGATATTTTTGTTTTTTAAGTCTTATTATCCTTACAATTCTATAATTAGCGTTCTCAAGTTCTAATCCTATCATCCATGTATGACAATATAAAATGTCTCCTAACCACCTTTACTTTCCTGAAATAAACTAGTTCTAAACCCCATCCCCTTCTTTCCGAAATATCTGTCATCCTTGTGGGTATCTACAATGTTCTGATTTCTTTGATTAGCTTAATCATTTTTGTATATGTCCTCTGGATTTCCATTTGTTTTCCTTCTCAACATTGATGGTTTCATTACCTTCTTCCTGTTATCACTTATTTCTACAATCGGAGCAGTCAGCAGTTTACAGCTTTTATTGATAAAATGATTGCGATTAAGTGGTCATGCTGAAAGGCTAAAAATATTATGATGACAAGCTCAACGGGTATTTCACTTATAGCAGATATTTAGGCCAAAGTAACAATAATCACCCTTTTTAGTGAAAATAGGCATTCGTTCTGTAAATCCCTTGGTTACACTACAAGTCATTACCATTATTACAACAAGAAACGAGTCAATTCCTACCTCTTTATGTTTTTCCATAGTACTGAATATTTTTTGTGTGAGATCATTTCCACCATGAGGCATATTGGTCTTTTTGGTATTTTTCCGCTGATTGTTTTTATTTTTGTTTTGCTTTTGTTTTCTACCACCCTTTCCTTTCTTCTTTCCAGCACCATTCTACAAAAATAAATATGTAAATGTGTAATAATAATGTAGTCTACAGAGACTGTAAAACTCATAGCTAGATATCATCTACACCCTCTTAAATGACTAACAGCTATAATTAACCTGACTAATGATGTTGTTAAATTTCATCAAAGATGCAAGGCTTATAATTTTGTACATAAGGTAATCAAAATTCAAATTACTAACAGAAAGAGTATTTCTACCATTTTAGTTTGTATATACAGTAGACTCCGGCAAATCGGACACCCAAAATGTCAGCTAAAAATATCTGATTACCCGATATATTCAATTAGACGATGAATGTATATTCATCAAATATTCTGCTATAATGAGTAGATATAATCCTGAGATGTTACTAACCCTGACAATTGCTAAATATGTGAAAGGGCTGGAGAATTGGTGGAGTGATTTTTATCAGTTACATCACCACGATGTTTGTGTAAAAAATTATCAGCTGATTATGTAATGATTAAATTTGTTTGCAGTTTTTAAATCCTTTATTTATTAAAATAAATCAAATGTCCTGAAATATTTATGTGAATTATTATCTACCATCCATAGTTAATCTTTATTTGTTTTGTAAGCAAATTAATATCCATTATTTACATTATCACACAGGTAAACTAATTTGGCTATAAATAGATCTAAGCATGTCTGTGTAGAATCTCCAAACTAAAATCCTATTTGTTATAATTTTATTTCTTTAAATAATCAAATTTAAATTTATGAAAATAATCATGATTGATAAAATATTATTGCATAAAGTTTACGTTTTCTGAAGACTATTTATATTTAGGTCATAGTTCTAGAGGCTTCCTCACAAATTTGTAAACATCCAAAATGGCGTCCATGACATGTGGTTACTTTTGCACATGTGAAAAAAATATATCTGACAAAAATCAGATTTCTCTTGTCAAAAAGGATTTATATTTATATTGCAATAAAATATTCAGAAGGAGGTACATTCAGTTTAGATTATATTTCTGATTCTGTGAACATTTAGAGTTTAATCAAAATTCTCCAAACAGCAACATCAACTTGTCAACTGAGTCTTGCATATTTTATAAATAAATTCAAACCATTTGAAGTAAAAGGGCATCTAATTCACATGACAAAGGAAGACAATGATTAAAGACAACAATTTATTAAGAAATAGTTCCTTTTATTTAGTAAAAACAAAATCTTCTTGTCTGCAAGATTGTAAATTCGTAACTTCCGGGTCCATTTCCTGTCAGAAAAACATTGAAAATATCCGATTGTGCATGGTTTTGAACAAAAAGACCTGAATATTCTTATCCGATTTGCCGATATATTCTTATATCCGATATTCGATTACCCGATAAAATTAACATTAAACATAATGTTTTGAAATAATATTACAATAGCTGATATATTCGTTTAGCCGATATCCGATTAGGTGGAGTCTACTGTATTGCATGCTTATTTCCCATGTTATAACAGGAGATCTTAACATCGTTCAAGACCGAGAGTTAAAATCATTCCTCAGTAAAGGACCTAAATATCGTCCCCCGTCAATTATTAATTGGAATGAGTGTCGTAATATCATCCACAACTCACTCCATACTTACTGTTTGAAATGGATAAAACGGGAAAAAGCTGACAAAAAATCTTTGGACTCTTTTTTTAAATCAGTAATGAACATAGTTGATATACGTATTCAACATTTTAAAGAACATTTTACTCTTAACAATAACCACAATAAACCTATTTCTCGTATCAAACAAACTAAAAGAACTAGCCAAGGAATTTGTTTTTGTTCCGGCCGATAAAGCTGCTAATAATATTATTATTGTTTGACGTAAATTTTACATTGAGGTTCTGAAAAAAGAAATCACCAATTCACCAACATTCCAACTGACTCCATTTTCAGAAAACGACATCTGTTACAAACATAAACTTTTAGCTACCGCTCTACAAGCAGAACCAAATACAATGAAAGTCCCAACTATGTATTGGCTTCCTAAGCTACACAAAACACCTTACAAATATAGATTCATTTTGTCTTCAAGCCATTGTTCCACTACTAAATTGTCTATTCTTCTTACCAGTACACTTGGTACAATCAAAAACCTGATAATAAATTGTTCAAATAAGGCCTTCGAAAATAGTGGAATTAATTACTTTTGGAGTGTCAAGAACTCGTTGGAAGTACTTGATAAATTGCATGCATATATTGGTGATTTTGAATCTGTTCAAAGTTTTGATTTTTCTACCCTATATACCACATTGCCTCACATTCTCATTAAGAAAAAATTCACACACCTAATTAAATGGGCATTTAAAAAGTCAGAATGTGAATATATATGTTCAAACTCTTTTAGGTCATTTTTTAGTAGCAATAAACAAAAAAACTATGTCAATTGGACATGCTTTGATACTATATATGCCCTTGAATTTTTACTAGATAACATTTTTGTTCGCTTTGGAGATTCCGTATATCGTCAGGGTTATCGGAATTCCAATGGGGACTAACTGTGCACCACTTATTGCAGACCTTTTTTTGTATTGCTTTGAGTTACAATTTATGACAAAAATCAGCAAAGACCCATCGAAACAACATCTGATACACAAATTTAATAATACTTTTAGATATTTGGATGATATTTTGGCTCTCAATAATGACGACTTCAGTATGTATACTAAAGAAATTTATCCTGTTGAACTTACTTTAAATAAAGCTAATACTAACAATGACCACTGCCCTTTCCTCGATCTTGATATCTATATCATTAACGGAAAGCTTAATACTAAAATATATGATAAAAGAGATGATTTTTCATTTCCTATCGTTAATTATCCATTTTTAGATGGTGACGTTCCCTTGTCACCATCTTACGGTGTTTATATATCTCAACTTGTACGATTCGCTCGTGTATGTAACAATGTTTTAGATTTTAACGAGAGAAATTTATGTATTACTGAAAAATTATTACACCAGGGTTTTCGATATCACAAACTAGTCAAAACATTTACTAAATTTTATCATCGGTATAAGGACATCGTTCGTAAATATAGCTCAACATGCAGACTTCTTATACATTCAGGTATTTCACATCCAATTTTTTATGGAAATATTCTTTATAAAGCACAAAAATGTCAGTATTCACCTCTGAAGCTAACAAAACCTTTAAATAGACTTATTAAGAAGGGATATAGTTACGATACTGTTGTCAGGTCATTTAAGATTGCATATTTTAGCGTTAATATTGATTCACTTATAGATTCTTTGCATCGGCACTAAACACATTTATTTAATAAAATGCTCCGCTGGGGCGCAGCTTGATACGACCGCAGAGGTCGAACCCTGAACAGTTAGGGCAAGTATGGACACAACATTCAAGCTTGATACAGCACTGAATTTGGATTGTAATTAAATATTTGACACAGCATAGGTTTCTGACACAGAATAAATGTGGTCTAAGAACTTAAAAATTTTTAATTTATCTATTCAAACCATATCATTATTATTTGCTTTTATATATAAATCAGAAATAACCAATTTAAAATGGAAAATTTTAAAGAAAAAAAGGGGAAAAAAATCCCCCCCCCCAAATTTTTTTAACCCCCTTATGATTCATCACCCCCAAACTCAATCCCAGCCTTCCCTTTGTGGTATGGTACCTTGCAGTACACATACATGTGATGGACTGTGAAACTAAGATCAGGAGTTTTGGAGATTAGGACTCCGATCAGGATGTTTTTAATCGACATAAATTCTGTCGTAAATGTAACTGTGTGCTGTAGAAATTGTCTGTTAAAGTGTGTTTTCTTCAACTTTCCATCCGAATGTATTATGTTTATAGTACCTTTGTACTTATAAATTTTCTCTATCTTTTTAAACTTTCAACTTGTTCAATCTAACATTCTTCTTTTTCAGTATGTTCTTTAAATTTTTTAGGTCATATCTTTTTTACCATGATTCATTGCAATCAGAACATTTGCTTATCTATTTGCAAGTAGATCTTTTATTTTTATCTTTATGCAAGTAGATTTTTTTTTTTATCATTATATGCAAGTAGATTTTTAATGCATGATAAGTAACACATTCAAACTGTGAAAATGGGTCATAGTTATTATATAAATTTCAATTTAAGCCTTGAAAGGAAGTATAGAAACCCTCAAATAATTTTCAAATTATTATTTTTTATTTGTCCTAAAACATTTAAAATCATTTAATTACCATCCTTTTATGATTATTTGTTCAATTTATATTTTATTTATATTCTTTTAAAAAAATTTACATTATTTAAAGGAAAGTAACTTAAAACAGGATAAATCAAGGGAAGTAACCCAACATTCATTTTAAATAAACAAAGTTTTATTACACAACGGCAGTTAGCCTGAGGTAAAAATCGTTTATTACCAGTATGTTTGACACCCAAGGTGACAAGTGAGGCCATATAATTATGCATGTTAATTGATTTACAGGTAAAATATAACTTCAGTAATGTCAGTAACACCAGATATGTTGGGCTGAAATTTTTCATTCATGAAATATTTCATACACGGGATTTTTTTTGTCTTCAACGGGAGGTCGGGAGGAGACCCCTGAAAACGGGATTATTGTACTCCCGTCGGGAGGTTCACATGTATGAACTGTACAATTTCAGAGAGATCCATACACTTGAACACAAGTTATTGTCTGGAAACAAGAAAAATGCTTGTTTTTTGGCCCCAAATTCCTAAACATTTAGGGCAAATACCCCCAATCTCAAACCCAGCTTTCCCTTTGTGATATGGAACCTTGCAGTACAATTTCAAAAAGATCCATACACTTACACACAAGTAATTGTCCTGAAACTAGAAAAATGCTTGTTTTTTTGCCCCTTTATGGCCCCTAATTCCTCAAATTTCTAGGGAATTACCCCCAAAATCAATCCCAGCCTTCCCTTTGTGGTTTGGTACCTTGCAGTACAATTTCAGAGAGATCCATACACTTGAACACAAGTTATTGTCTGGAAACTAGAAAAATGCTTATTTTTGGCCCCTTATTCCTAAACGTTGTGGGCAATTACCCCCAAAATCAATTCCAGCTTTCCCTTTGTGATATGGAACCTTGTAGTAAAATTTCATAAAGATCCATACACTTACACACAAGTTATTGTCATGAAACTAGAAAAATGCTTGTTTTTTGCCCCTTTTTGGCCCCTTATTCCTAAAATTTGGAGGCAATTACCCCCAAAATCAATCCCAGCATTCCCTTTGTGATATGGAACCTTATGGTACAATGTCAGAGAGATCCATACACTTACACACAAGTTATTGTCATGAAACTAGAAAAATGCTTGTTTTTTTCCCCTTTTTGGCCCCTAATTCCTAAAATTTGGAGGCAATTACCCCCATAATCAATCCCAGCATTCCCTTTGTGATATGGAACCTTGTGGTACAATGTCAGAGAGATCCATACACTAACACACAAGTTATGTCTGGAAGTTACAAAAATGCGTATTTTTGGCCCCTTTTTGGCCCCTAATTCCTTAACTGTTGGTACCATAAACCCCAAAATCAATCCCCACCTTCCTTTTGTGGTATTGAACCTTATGGTAAAATTTCATAGAGATCCATTCACTTAAACTAAAGTTAGAGTGCAAAAACCAATGTGTCTTCGGACGACGACGACGACGCCAACGTCATACCAATATACGACCACAAAATGTTTTTGCGGTCATATAAAAACCAGTTGTTGGCATGACACGGGTTATGTTCTTTTCATATATGTTATGATGGTATGATACTAAACCCCTAACGGGAAGGATTGTGCCTGATATTCATATGATGAAGACATAATCTTTCAATCAGTTTAATTGAAGTCTGGAGCTGGCATGTCAGTTAACTGCTAGTAGTCTGTTGTTATTTATGTATTATTGTCATTTTGTTTATTTTCTTTGGTTACATCTTCTGACATCAGACTCGGACTTCTCTTGAACTGAATTTTAATGTGCGTATTGTTATGCGTTTACTTTTCTACATTGGCTAGAGGTATAGGGGGAGGGTTGAGATCTCATAAACATGTTTAACCCCGCCGCATTATTGCGCCTGTCCCAAGTCAGGAGCCCCTAGCCTTTGTTAGTCTTGTATTATTTTTAATTTTAGTTTCTTGTGTACAATTTGGAGTTTAGTATGGCGTTCATTATCACTGAACTAGTATATATATTTGTTTTGGGGCCAGCTGAAGGACGCCTTGGGTGCGGGAATTTCTCGCTGCATTGAAGACCTGTTGGTGACCTTCTGCTGTTGTCTGTTCTATGGTCGGGTTGTTGTCTCTTTGACACATTCCCCATTTCCATTCTCAATTTTATTATGCATTAGCATTCTTGAAGTTAGGTTTCATCAGCGTCCTTAATCATTATAGAGTTTCTTAAACTGTTACTGTACAAAAACCTGTATTTGGCATTTTAATAATGGCAAATTATTTGCTTACATTCAGCGCAAGTGTTATTCAACTGTTGTTTGGACAGGAAATGATGAATATTATTCACCTTTCCCTTTGGTAAATACCAATGACTTTCGATACTAGAATATCAATCTCTTTGGTAAATACCACACTTTATATATTTTATTTAATTGTGTTATCTAAACAAAAACTATTTTGAAAAAGCTAATTTCATTATCTACTTATTAAAATAAAAGAAGAATGTGTCTGAGGACAAGAATACCCCCGCTCAAGCTTTGCAATTTTCCAAGTTAAACAGGGGCATAACTCTAGATCGGTAAATGACTCACAACCCAAATTCAAACTCAGTCTGCCAGTTTTGGTTCTTAGCATTGTATATGAGTTTCATAAAATTTAGATGTGATAAACTTAAGTTACAGTGCGGAAACGAAAAAATTTGCAATTTTCCAAGTTATAGAGAGGCACAACTCTAGAACTCACAGCCCAAATTAGAACTCTGTCTGCGAGTTTTGGTTCTTCGCATTATGTACGAGTTTCATATACAATGCTATAAACCAAAACTCCCCTACGGCAGGTGCATAAAAAACATTTAAAGCAGGAGGCTACACTAACAAGATACTTAAAAAGACTGACAAACATACATAGAAGCAAAGGGTAAATAGGGAATGATAAAATATCTATGTCAAGTGGGACTGTCTAGAAACACTTACAGGATTGTCAGCTTCTCCTTCAACAACTTCCTCAACACTTGCTTGTTCTGCTGCTGCAGCTTCAGCCTCTTCACGTTTCTTCTTTTCTTCCTCTTCCTGATCCAACTCTTTAATGCTTTCTTCTAAAACATTGGGCCAGAAATCTCCCTCAAAATATGGTATCTGTGTGGCACATTTTATATTGTTTTCAATTGCATCTTTTAAAATATCCTGAAATTATATGTTAACAATATAATGTTAATAATGTAACTAATAAAATGGGCCAAATGAGCACAAAGGTATCAAACTGTTGACAAAGAGATGTGTCCCTCCTGTATGTAATTTTTATAGTAAAATGCAAATGTTGATATTAAAAATACTTAACATGTAAACTATGCAAAACATTCAAAGTCAATGTATCATGACTGAAGGTGTAGGAACAAATAAGCTCCATGAAAATGTGATTTACCATTGCTATTACACCTCTTTACCAAATATCATTGACTTACCATGGATGGGTCCCTTTAAACTGACCTATTCACAAACTTTAACAATATCACTGACAATAGACATCAACCTCTGTAATATTGAATTTCACAGATATAAAAACAAGCATTCTGAGAGTATTTTATGGCAATACAGTCCCCGACCAGTTAAAAATTAATTGTACTGGATCAAAATGCTAACTTGATCTATAACTGGTCAAGATGGTGTAAACTATATAACAAATATCAAGTCAATATCTTCAAGCATGACGAAAATAAAATGCTTCGCCGAGCGCAGCCTGATACAAACGCAGAGGTCAAAACCTGAACAGTTGGCCCAAGTTTGGACGCAATATTCAAGCTTGATACTGTCTGAATTTGGATTGTGAACAAGTTTTTGACATAATATAGGTTTCTGACACAAAATTATTGTAGTCAAAGATCTTAAAAATTTGAAATGGGACATTTAATTTACCTAGAATTGTCTGATATCCAAAATCTAACAACATGGTTTCATTCAGCATATAAAATAAACTGCTTCGCTGAGCGCAGCTGGATACGCCCGCAGAGGTCCAACCCTGAACAGTTGAGGCAAAAATGGACACAATATTCAAGCTTGATACAGGTCTGAATATTTGATATATTATAGGTTTCTGAATAAATGTAGTCAAAGAACTTGAAATTGGTTATATGAAGGATTTCTTGCTGTTGTGCAATACACTGTGCTGTTGCGCAATACTTAGTAAATCGGTTGTCAGACTATAAACAAATAAAATCTTATAACTCAGAAATGTAAATTCGAAAATTTATAAAAATCAAAAGGGAGCTTACAAAAATAAATACAAACAATTTACCAAAGTTTCATAAAAAATGCTGCATGCATTTTTGAGTTATTGTCTGAAAACTGGAAAATCCCCCTTTTTGTAATGAATAAAACCCCATAAATCGGAAACGTATAGTCTGAAATTTATAAAAATCAAAAGGGAGCTCATGTCGATAGAAATAAACAATTCACAAAAGTTTCATGCAAATTGGTGAAATTGTTTTTGAGTTATTGTCCGAAAACTGGAAAATCCCCCCTTTTTTAATGAATAAAACCCCAAAACTCTGAAACAGTAAATCCGAAATCTATAAAAAACGAAAGGGAGCTCACCTCAATAGATATGAACAATTCACAAAAGTTTCATGCAAATTGGTAAAATTGTTTTTGAGTTATTGTTCAAAAACTGGAAAATCCCCCCTTTTTAATGAATAAAACCCCAAAACTTGGAAATGGTAAATCTGAAATTTATAAAAAACGAAAGGGAGCTCACGTCAATAGATATAAACAATTCACCAAAGTTTCATGCATATTGGTTAAAGCGTTTTTGAATTAATGTCCGACATGTTGACGACAGACGGACGGACGGTCAGCGGTATACCATAATACGTCCCGTAAACGGGCGTATAAAAACACCAATAATTCAATTTTAGTTGAAATCAAACCAAGTCTAATTTTTGACGCTTCAAACCTTAATATGAACTAATTTGAAAACAGGGCCCAAAATAAAAATCTAAATGCACAATAAGATTCACCAAATCATACATCCGCAATAATTCAGTTTTTGATGAACTCAAACAAAGTTTAATTTTGGACACTTTTGACCTCAATGTAGACCAATTTAAAAATGGGGCCCAATATCCAAAAAAATTATTCAAGGTTATAACCCCCAAAATCTAAAGACTTTATCAATCCCATCGAAAGTGATTAAAACATTTGTATTTGTTTCAATTGACGATTTCTTGCTATTGCGCAATACTGTGCAATTGAAGATATCTTGCTATTGTGCAATACTGTGCTATTGCCCAATACTGTGCAATTGAAGATTTCTTGCTATTGTGCAATACTGTGCTATTGCCCAATACTGTGCAATTGAAGATTTCTTGCTATTGTGCAATACTGTGTTGTTGCGCAATTGAAGATATTTTGCTATTCCGCAATATTGTGCACTTGAAGATTTCTTGCTATTGCGCAATACTGTGCAGTTGAAGATTTCTTGCTATTGGGCAATACTGTGCCATTGAATATTTCTTGCATTTGCCCAAGACTGTGCTATTGTACAATACTGTGCTATTGCGCAATACTCTGCAATTGAAGATTTCAAAAATTTAAAATTTCAAAAATTTTGAAGAAAAAAAATGAACACCGCCCCCAAAAAATCCCAACTTTTTAACCCCACCCCCCTTTTGGAGTAATTACCCCCAAACTCAATCCCAACCTTCTCTTTATGGTATGGAACCTTGTAGTACAATTTTAGAGAGATCCATACACTTAAACACAAGCTAGAATAAACTGCTTCGCTGAGCGTAGCTGGATAGGCCCGCAGAGGTCCAACCCTGAACAGTTGGGGCAAAAATGGACACAATATTCAAGCTTGATACAGGTCTGAATTTGGATTTTAATTAAATATTTGACATATTATAGGTTTCTGAATAAATGTAGTCAAAGAACTTGAAATTGGTTATATGAATTGAATTTATATTCAATTAAAGATTTCTTGCTGTTGTGCAATACACTGTGCTGTTGCGCAATACTTATTAAATCTGTTGTCAGACTATAAACAAATAAAGTTCAATTTCTTCTCAATGTCATATTTGAAATTTATGAAAATCAATAGGGAGATTACTTCAATAGCTATAAATAATTCACCAAAGTTTCATGAGAACTGCTGAAAGCATTTTTGAGTTATTGTCCAAAACTGGAAAATTCCGCCCTTTTTTAATGAATAAAACCCCATAACTCAGAAATGTAAAATCTAAAATTTATAAAATTCTAAAGGGAGCTTACATCAACAGATATAAACAATTCACCAAAGTTTCATGAGAACTGCTGAAACTCAAAGCATTTTTTAGTTATTGTCCGAAAACTTGAAAATCACCTTTTTTTTTATGAATAAAACCCTGTAACTCGGAAACGTAAAATCTAAATATTATAACAAGAGTGCACACGCTGAAATGTCTCGCCTTCTTTACTAACCATTGATATTATGTTGATAGTCCTAAATGAAAGCTTTACTACAACTATTACATAAACTTAACATGATCCAAGAAAATAAAGTCAAGGTCATATAAACCAAACGAGAAATACATGTACACCTTACAATCATTCAATACACTAAATATAGTTGACCTATTGCTTATAGTTTCTAAGAAACAGACTTAACCAAGAAAACTAAACATTTACCAATGAATCGTGAAAATGAGGTCAAGGTCAGATGAACCATGCCAGGCAGACATGAACAGCTTACAATCCTTCCATACAGCAAATATAGCTGACCTATTGCTTATAGTTTAAGAAAAACAGACTGAAACACATAAACTTAGCACTGAGCAATGAACCGTGAAAATGAGGCCAAGGTCAAATAAAACCTGCGAGACTGACATGTACATCATAGAATATATCCATACACCAAATATAGTTGACTTATTGCATATAGTATAAGAAAAAAGACCAAAACTCAAAAACTTAACTTTGACCACTGAACCATGAAAATGAGGTCAAAGTCAGATGACACCTGCCAGTTGAACATGTACACCTTACAATCATTCCATACACCAAATATAGTAGACCTATTGCATAAAGTATAAGAAAATCGGACCAAAACACAAAAACTTAACTATAACCACTGAACCATGAAAATGAGGCCAAGGTCAGATGACACCTGCCAGCTAGACATGTACACCTTACAATCATTCCATACACCAAATATAGTAGACTTATTGCATACAGTATAAGAAAAACAGACCAATACACAAAAACTTAACTATAACCACTGAACCATGAAAATGAGGTCAAGGTCAGATGACACCTGCCAGTTGGACATGTACACCTTACAGTCCTTCCATACACCGAATATACTAGACCTATTGCCTATAGTATCTGAGATATGGACTTGACCACCAAAACTTAACCTTGTTCACTGATCCATGAAATGAGGTCGAGGTCAAGTGAAAACTGTCTGACAGGCATGAGGACCTTGCAAGGTACGCACATACCAAATATAGTTATCCTATTACTTATAATTAGAGAGAATTTAACATTACAAAAAATCTTAACTTTTATTTCAAGTAGTCACTGAACCATGAAAATGAGGTCAAGGACATTGGACATGTGACTGACGGAAACCTCGTAACATGAAGCATCCATATACAAAGTATGAAGCTCTTAGGTCCGAGTACACAGTTATTTCGTAGTGCATTTCTTTTAGACAATAAATGAAAATAAAAAAAATCCCACCTGCGCTTTCTCAATAATATTTTTACAGTGTGTTGTACTACTTTTGGGACAAATCATATCAAAATTATAGAAAACTTCATCGGCTCTAACTCAAAATATGGACAATTCTATGTTAAGGGGGTCTTGAAATCTTTTGACAGCTTCCGAAGTGCTAATTTTTAACCTTTTTCAGCTGGACCAAATCACTACTTAACTTTACAATTCATGACCCAAATTTTTTTACAGTGTAATTTCATCCCCCTACTTGCTATTTGAGGCATAAAACATGAAGGAATACATTTGGAAGGGGTACTAAAAAAATTGGCAAGCAACACACTGTCCACACTAGGGACTTTATTCGTGGACAACGAAAATCAAAGGACGATAACTGTGTACTCGGACCTAATAGGATAGAAAAATTTGACCAATCTTAATAAAACTTGGTATGACTAAAGCTTAATAAATTATGAGACTGCTGACAAAGTTTCATGGCAATAGGATATATATTATAGACAATATGATAAATTCTATATTCAACTTCGCGTGTTAAATTTTGACGTTTAAATTGAAAAATTTCAACTATCAACATTTGGGGCTTTAAAAATCAAAATATTGCAAAAAATTACATTTTAAAGGCCTTAATATATGACATATTATCTATTTAAAGCAACAGAATACTCATTTGATTTATCAGAATTATCACAATTATTTAAAAGTCAAATTTATATGAGCCTGTGCCAAAAAATGGAGGTTTTCCAATGAAGGGGGGCCTTACATGAAGATGTATTATTTTCCAGCAATTTTAAATTTGTGGAGTTTTTTGGTTATAAATAATCCTTACATATGTATTAAATGTACTTTAAATGGAAAGAAAAATTACAAATAGCATACCATATTAGTATAAAAGGGTCTTAAGCCAAGTAAGACTGAAAATAATTTAGGGTCAATTTAGGCCGTAGCACATATTTACATTTAAAAATGCATACTGAAGCTATAGGAAATAAAAATTTGTGTCTTTTTTATAATTTCTATACTCAGGTTACATGATACAATAAATCTGAGCATAAAAGGACTCTTGCATTCAACTTTTTTTGCAGACAGTATGGTCTGATACAAAGATTTTTCACTTTTTAGTGAAGAACTTGCATGCAATTTTAGCCTCAGCAGGCTTATATTTGAACCACTTGCTATTTAACATAAGAAAAGAAAGATACTATGTGAAATGAAACAGGTACAAAAGACATTGTGAAGTGCTTTTAATACAAATTTAGTGAAATCTTTATTATGGACTTCAACTTTTATGTACCTAGGTCCTCACATTTAACTTGATCCAAACAGGCCGTTACACGAGGGTCATTTATACAACACAT